AATGTTGTATTCGGTAATAAACAGTTTACTCGTTATGCTTATATATTGCTCATATATGAAATGAACGCATTATAAGTTAGTGAGTCACTAATTTTTTGATCAAACTTTAAAATAAAAAACATTTGATATATGAAGCTTAACTGGCTAAAACAACAAATACTGTTTACGGAGTCATTTATTGTATAATATATACTGTTACCACTACTTTTACTATTGATAATTGTCTTTTGGAGAAGTAGGGCTGCCGGTACTTTGATACTTCTACTTAACAGCAAAACTGTGCTGCCAGAATTGTATTCACAGCCCTTTTGTAGATACATGCAGCTCAACAGCTTCTACTGCTTCTCCCAACAACATTCCATCTATTCATTATTTGTTTTCTTTCATTTATCTCCTGTTTTGATCGGTATATCTGGCTGTGGCAGACAGCCATGTTTCAGATTCGTCTCCATAGCTCTGACTGAGGATGTAATAACAAGGGAACTATCAACATACAGCCACTCAGGGAAAGAGTGCTGAGTGATTGAAGCACTATGACTCACTGCACTTCACTCCGGACATTTATGCTGCGCCGGGTCGCGCCTCAGCTGCAGGGAGGACGAGTCACCCGTACCTTGGTCATTCCGTAATAAAAAAGGGATGACCAACTGACTACGCAAATACATGTTTTACCGTCACAATGTCTCTACATTTACTTCTGCACTTACATTCTTCTGCCAAACACCATTATTAAAAGAAAAGTTTAGCTTTTTACCATTTAATTAAAGGGAATATTGTGCTATGTATTCTATTTATATGCGAGCTATAGTCAATCTACATCTTTAAATCATACTTTCAAATTAAATTATTATTATTGATGGATTTTTTTGCCCACTTGGGGTCACCAGAACAACCTTGATATGATGAACCTGCTAGCTAGCAGTTGCCTTCCACATGCAGTAGACAAAGACCAACAGTAGCATCCATTTAGAAATGTGCCCGCGCTCGATAGTCTAATATTGCTCACTTTTGAGCTGTTTTGGTCTCTTCAGCTGCTTAATGCTGCACTATTTTACCAGTTGATTAGTCTACGTTTGTCTGTCTCATGCTTCATCACAATGAGAAATGCATATCATCTCACCTATTGTATAAAAATGTTAAATGGCGATTTAAGCGATGAACTGAAAATCAAGTAAAATAGATGATTTCCCGGAATATAATAAAAAGTGTTTCACTCATTCAAACGGTTGCATTGTAGCTTAAAAGGTGACCGATCCGATGCAGCTAACTCATTGAAAATACATCTCAAACACCACTTAAACTTAAAGTTTGTCGTGTTATTTTTTTCTAGTTGTGTAACGTGCTTTGAAATAGGGGGGAAAAAGATTACACCGAAAGCCATGTTATTGACAACCATCTGAACACGAGTCAATAAAGAGACCTCTTGAATCCGTCCATATGTGCAAGGGAAGCTGTATCAAGCTGATTAAGCGGCTGCACATGGAAGGGCTGAAGTGTTAGTGCCTGTGCATCCTCTTCTTGCTGATTGTAAATGTATCAGGAACAGCAGTGTGCTGCAGTAAAAGTCAGTTAATGACTTCACGAGGATCTTTAGTGCTTTGTCCGTATATCATAAACGCTCTTCACATTCAGAAGTGGCCTGAAGAAATAACCTGCCTGCCTGCTCCTGTGGCTAGCCTTCAGTGGACGCCTGGTTGCGCAGGAGTGTGGCGTTTTCCTCTTCACCTTAACTGACTTGAGAGTCTGGTGGAGCCGCATTGGCCTCCGTGTGAGCAGAGGAAACAGTAAATGGGGTTTGCTCTGGTCAGTGTGTCTTTAGGGATCGATAGAAACGTTAGTAACACAAAGGTATCCGAACCATTGTTGATCTTCGTGAAGTTCAGTACAGGCATTCGTGGTCTCCAGAGGATGAATTCAACTGACTTTGGTGATGCTCTTGTTTTTCATCACAGCCACCAAATTGACACTTTGGGGAGGAGTGAAAAAATGTGATCGACTTTATTGATCCATGCGATTCTCTTAAACGTCAGCAGATTAAAATACTAAATAGAAATATACCTTGTGACCAATCAAATGACATTCGTGTCAGTCTACTGCATGCCCTACTTTGGGTTTGGTGCTTATTAGCTTGGATTGCTATGACATTTGAAGCATTTTCATGTTTCCCGGAGGATGAACAGCTTTGGTGATCCCTACTCTTTGAATGTGTCCTATACATTTTTTTCTAACAAAATACCCGCAATACTTACAACATCCAATCTGCTTTTTCACGCTAACAACACTATAATAGGATTAACATGGAAATTGCCATTGTCAGCATGTTAGCATACAAATGTTAGCTCCTTAGGCGCTGTGCCAAAGTAGCCCGTACCCTGTGACAGCTGGTAGAATACACTGAATAATGGCAAAGTACTCGAGTTTGAATACAGGAAATGGATTTTTAGCATTAGCATTTTGTTCAACTCTGGTTCCTACGTCTATAAGTGAATGCGTATTTTGGGTAGGTTTTTGGTGAGATGCCTTGATTGACTCAAGCTTATGATAATTTAACGTTTGGTTTAACGATATACATTTGTAAATAGCTCCAGAATTTTTTACCTTTTGCATGTCTTAAACTAAGCCGTTGCTAACAAGCGGCTAAATGACAAATTGGAACCTGGCGGACTTAAAGATGAATCATTTCCTAATAATAATAATTATATTTCTCAAAATGTAAAAGTATCGTGAACGTCTGTCTGCCACAGGTTTTATTTTTGGTAATTACCCAAAATCCAACAGAGAAAAGCCTCTTGAGGAGGGAACCAGTGTGAAGCTTACTGCTTCGGTTTGCATAAAATAAAAGCTCATCCCTGCAGCACTCAGTTAAACAAGCAGTCAACATTCATCATGTTATCCACTTTGGTTTCATCCTGATTCTTGGTGAACCAGTTGTTCTCATCACATGATAAAAGATGTTTGTTAAAGAATTGGTCGATAGTTAGTAAAAGAGCACATTTCAATGTCTAGCTGCCATGGGAAGCTCAGTCTCAAGGCCGTTGCAGAGGAATACATTTAATTATTCCCCCCTCGGTGAAACGAGACAAAAACCTTCCCACCGCAATCCACTTGCCTCTCTACATTGTGCTCCCTCTTTCTCCTGACCCTCCCGTCTGGCCTTTACTCTGTCAACATCATCTGCTGCTGCGGAGCAGACCGGCTCAAAAGCAAACCTTTTTTACTTTCCTGCAGGTGGCTGATAGCTAACTGAGGCAAGAGGCAACAACAATCCCTCTTCCCTGGCTCTGCCTACCGACAGCATCTCCTTTCTTGTTTGACGTCGTAACAAGAGTGCATTTCGGCTGGCCAAAGTAGAACATTTTATACCTAATTTAAACATAAAACCACGAAGCGATTACCCCGCTATTTTACATGTTTTTCTTCATAATGAGTAAGACACACAATGACAAACACTATTTTGCAGACATTGTTTGTCTTTGAAAGCCACTTCATGCATTTGTGATTATTTTATTTAAACAATCTCATGGGTTTGAATATTTGGAAATGCACCATTCATGCATCTCAAAACCTCGTAAGCAGAGATGATCATTAAATATTCACTATGCTAGTATTTGTTGATGTATGTGTATATATTGTTGCAACTATAAAAATCCAACAATAAATAACTGACAGGACCCATTTGGCATTATAAAAACTTTTATTTCCAGATACTTGTTGTTGCCAAGACTTCTTCATTTGAGAATGTTGGACTCTTACTTGTTTTTTTGCTATTTTTATAGTTTCTACTACAGGTGGTTTTCAAGTGAAAGATGCATTGTACCTGCTTCACCCAGCTGTATTTTCTCTTTCAACCATCAAGTTATTTAAAAAATAGAAACAAAAGAACATTATGTGACATTTAAAGACGACATGCACATTGTCAGGCAAACTAAAATTTTGCTTAAAGGAAATATTTAATTACTTACAGCTCTCAACCCACCGTAAATTGCATTTCCTGCTTAAAGAAATTAAAAATAATCACAGCTCAAATGAGCAGTTTTTTATTATTACCTCTGTGTTCCTTGCTGTGTGGGAACATTAGGCAACGGCTCAGCATGTCAAACTATGTCAAGTGTTACAGCTCCCTTCCTGTTTAAGGGGAGGGGGGAATATCATACCCGAGATGAATTAACTAAAAGGCTGGTCTTCAGACCCCTTCCTAAAATGATTAACCCGTGCGGAGAGAATTATTGAGTTCTGAGTGGTTGTTCTTTCTCATCGTCTGTAATTGTTCTTTTACTGTTGTTTCCGTCTCTCTCTTCATTAAATGAAAAGAAGGGGAACATGTCTGAATAGAGGAGGGGGATTTTCCCACAGTCAATCAACTCAGAAATATCCACCATTGGGGCCACTCACCCATCCCGATACCCGGCTGCACAGCCCGCTGTGGTCCGAGGGACTGGGTCTTTTTAATTGAGCAACCATTTTTTTTCTTGTTTGTTTTTTTGTTTTCAATAAATTACTCAAAAGCTTTACTGTGATCTATATGATCCGTGAGCCTTCTTTTTTTTAAAGCTCTTAATGAGAACAAAGAGAAAATATTCAGCTAGAGCCTTTCCTAATATCATTGCTACCTGCAATATCCTGCTTTTTATTTTTAGACCAATATACAGTATATATATATCTATTGCACATAAGTAAACATTTTATTTTTCATTTTAAGAACAATTTGCTGTTAATATTTCTGTACTTGTTGACTCAAGGTGTGAAGTATTTTAACACTTCAACTTTACTGTTGTCAAGGAAATTCTGTCTCTCGCCATATCTCAATATCTTTAAATCGATACCACACGAAATTACTCAAAATTTGACTATATTTAAATAAGTAAAAATGACTAATCAAACGTGAGTATTCCTATCGAAATAAATATTAAAACATCTAACGCTGATTATAAATACAATGACAGGAATTATTATTAAACTGTGTTATATGAAACTAAAATAAAAGCCTAGACGTCAACGGTCGGGATAGCGCACGCATGCGTGTCAGGGCGCGCGCAGCCTCGCCTCCTGCGCTCACGTGGTCTCATTCGGACCAATCGGCGGCCAGGATTCAGCATCCGTACGAGAGCTTCTGCTGCAGCTCCACTGCGATGGCGGAGACAATGAAGCTGAGTGAAAACCACGCAACTCCTAATGAATCCAGCAAATTGTCTAGCTACAGGGACTGCGTGTGTGTGATGTTGAAGCTGTTGTCAGGCTTCGGGAAAGAGGTTGGTTGACATTCCCGAGCCCGAGGTTGCAACGGGAGACGCTTCTTTCCGTTCGTGTTAGTTAATTAACGTTAGCTAGCGACATGCTAATGTTTTTAGCATCTCGCTGTAGCAGCGCTGCTTGAATGGAGAACATTTTGGGTTGCTACTGATAGCGGGTTACAGACAACACTTTGGCCCCATCGATTTTAGGAAAATGATTTCAATCACTCATTACCCCCGTATATATATTTTCCCTTCTCATCGCTGCAACCCGTATTCAACATGTTAGTTAGCTAGATGATATTACTTGTATTAATCCATAGGGGGAACACTCAAAAGTATTCAATTTAACTTGTGTAGCAGGAAATATATGATAACTTTCGACTTGAAAAGGACTAAACTATTAGAACACAATTGTGGATTGGATTTACATAAAAAATAGACGCTGTTTTATTATCAGATAATGAACTAAGTAAATCATAATTATGTCAAACACTGAATCTGCTTTGCTCTAATGTCTCAGGCTGTGTAACCTTACTGTGTGTGTGTGTGTTTTAAATCAAGCTCAAATTAAGTGATGCTGCTCTGAGAATAGAAGTCAACATTGATGCTCTGGATCTGCCGTCATCTCCAGATGCTCACGTGTACAACTCTTTGCAGCAGCATGTCACTCAATTACAGGTGAAGTGGCACAATTTTGCTAAATTGCATGATTTCATCATTTTAGTACCAAAAGGGTTTGCTGAATTTCTTTTAAATTGATGACCAGTACTCAAATGTTTATAACGACGCATGGCTTTTAAAATAATGTATCATATCATGTTATGGTATTAAGTAGGGTTTTTTATTTAAGAAATACTATCGGTGCTTTGATGACACATGCTTTCTACCCCAACTGTTAAAACAGGCTGTGTCAGAAAGCCTAAAGACGCTGGTGGAGGCTCACCGTGTTACATCATCTACAAAAGACAACGCATCAGTTGATGCTGTGACCTCGTCGTCAGTCAAAGAGCAAACCGCTGCACTGTGCGAACAGCATCCTCCCAGCCCAGAGGATGCAGAAAGCGAGACGGGGGCTGATGATGTCATGGTTCAGATCAGAGCCAGGAAGTCAGAGGTTAGTCTCTGTCAGCAGATCCGTCAGCTGTTTTGGCAGGAACATTTTTTAGTGCCCTCTTTAGTCTCTGTCAAGCAAATGAATAATCATAAGTAATTGCTTGACGTGCCGCAGTGAAGCAAATGTTTGATGGAGATCTGATAAGCCGAATTCAGCAGAGAATAAGGGGTCCTTCAGTGCTGTGGTTGGGTAGAGCAGACCACATTGCTGGAGGGCTTTGAGAGAGGGCCAGGTCCTTGATGGATTATGAAGTGGATGCTCATTACTCTGAGATTGCATGTGGATGAAGGACAAGAGGCCCCATTCTGTTGTGCATTTATTTTTGGTAGCCAAGCAAACAGCATTCATATTCCGTCATGTGAGAATGGCAAGCAGTTAAACTTTTTTGGCTACCTGGAATAATTTCCCGCCCCATTTCTCATGATTACTTTTGCCCCAGATCTCACAAAAAAATCCTCATTGCATGCTTGTCAGCCATCAATAGCTCATCCATCCATGCATCTTATTATCTGTGTTGTCTCTCCTTTGTCACTCCAGATCGAGCGAAGAATATCTGCATTTATGGAACGCAAACAAATGGAGATCAATGAAAACAATGTACGCGAATTTTGCAACGTGATCGACAGCAATCAGGGTGAGAATGGGAAAGAGGTTGGAGGGGAAGGGTGGAGATGGAGCCTGCACACAGATTGCCAATGTTTGGGAGAGAGCTGATTTCCACATGCGAGAGGTCAGGCTGAACTGCTCCGGGAGTGGAGCTGAAGGAGCGAACACACTCTGCCTCAGAACACAACCAGCTAACTCCAGAAATACATGAGACTTTCTGTTTTAATTCAAAGACTGTGCGAGACGCCAGTTACAGACATCAGGGCGCACTAATTGTATTGATTGTAACAATGTATATGACATTTCTTTCTGTTTTCTCTTCTGTAGAAAACAGCTGTGCCAGAACAGAGGCGGTCTTCACTCCGTATCCAGGTTTTAAAAGCCACGTGAAAGGTAACACAAAACAGAAATTAGATATGTCACAAATGTCAATGTGACATCTTCGAACGTCTTTATTTTACCAACTGTAACCATAGCTTTTTAAAATTACACACATTATTTTGAAATAGCCATCGGCCCATAATCCTTAAATCGTCACGGGTAAAAAATGTCAAGGGTTTCCGTGGGACCCCTGTGTACATCCGCATGCTCTGTACAGGGCCTTGGGCATACGGCTTTGGTTAATGTTATTAATCTGTTTCTGTGTTACTGTGCCTGGCTAGTTACACGGGTAGTTAACACTTACGGGCCGCAGACACGTAGTGGGGCAGGCCAAGGAGAGGCTGGGGAGCAGCAGAGGGGGCAGATGGCGAGAGACTGTGGAAATGCAGCCATAGAGGAACGGCTTCACAACATCGAGACTCACCTGAAACTCCCAACAGGTCAGAGCAGGACACAACGTGTCTCACTGTACGTTTTACCTGTCACATATTATTACATATACTCTGATGTATTTATTCTCAACTAACTCCCAAATTGAACACATTGAAATGCAATTATGAAGGCATTACAGGCTGTACCCAAAGTATTATTGAATTGAACTAGTTATTATTTGGTGAATAACAAAGAGGTCACTGTTTAGCAGTTATATAACAGATATAAGCAATGGGACAAGTTAATAAAGCCACCTTTTGTTATGACCTGACCTCTCTTTTACACATAGACGCTACTTACGTACAACCCTCAAATGTTAAATGTGTCATGTAAAATGATCCGTGTTCAAGCCCTTTTTAACTATTCTTTAGCTGGCCCAGTTCCATTGAGTGTCTACCAGAGACTAAAGAAGCTGGAGGATCGTATCTTGGAGTTAGAGGGACTCTCACCGGAGTACTTTCAGTCCACGGTGAGTCTTGGCTTTGAAATAGACACATGAAAGGCCCCTGATAATTACTAGTCAGGGTTCATACAAAGGCCTTTTGTGCCAGTGTGCTATTCATAGTTTTCAGTTTGACTTAATTTGTTACCAGAAGTCAGCTATGCTCATCACTAACTACATACATTTGAGCCCCGGAGCTCGGATTTTTTTGGCGACGGGACTTTTAACGGACCGTTTATTAAAATGAGGCCAGACACATGCTCAATGAACGTGTGTGTGCGTGCGTGTGTGTTACTAAGGGGGAGATTCATCAATGTGTTCCAAATACTTTCATTTTTAGTTGTCTCTAAAATTCTGACAGATAAAAATGCTCCAATGTGCATTGAGTAAATAGTTAATTGATTACTGCCTCCTACAGTTCAAGATATATTTTCTCAGTCTGTTATTTATTGGGATTTAACAAACTATCTTTAATATATTGTGAATTGCAATATAAATCATACACTTAAACAATATTTAGAATTCTCTCCATATTTACAGCTAGAAAACCAAATATTACATTATATTTTACCAAAGAGCTTGGTATCAATTTGGGGAAGAAATGTTAAATTTTAGTACAATTTCCAAAATCCAAGCCGATATATAGTACATCATAATGTCGATTTAACCTAAAATGATTACAAAAGTACTAGCAAGTTTGTTTGCGTCTCCTGCTTTTGTTACTTTGAAAGAACCACCGAATTTTGCCTTCAGAATTCATACATTCCACAAGCCCTTCATTAGTTTGGCATTTAACGTGTATGATTCCTCAATTGGCACGTGGAATATTGGTTTGCTGTGGGCAGAACCATTTCAAAAGGGAAATATACTTACTGAGAGGAGTTTGTCGCTGATGCTAATGGAGTTTCCTCTTATATGCCGTGATACTTCAACACGTTTCCCTCCTCCAGTTACACTTTAGCTGATTTGAATCAGAAACGCTCGTGGTTAAATTCACTTTTAACTTTTAGGTCACTGCAGACAGCTCACTTGAGAAATTACCTCTTTTTACAACAGCGTAGTTTTTGAGGAGAGCACAAAGTAGTACATCGGACTTCATAGGGGACCTCATATAGAAGCAAACAGACTTCAGCGGACTCTTCATTCCCTTTCTCGGAGATGTGTGTCCAGTGTGTGTTTAGTTATGTGAGTAAGTGTGCTCGAGATGCTGCATGTCTCTTCACACTGGTGTCTCAGCACCTCATGCTGCTTCTGGGAGGATGCTGTGCTCCGTCTGCTTTTGACTCGCTGCACGGTTGTGTGAGCGGAGCGAGAGATGTCGAGTGTCTTTGAATACGCTGATGGGGTCTTTTATATTCAGAGTACCACTTTTTTTGTGGTGATTTCTAAAAATACTGTAGTTTGGTGTTTGCTGGAGAGCTGTACACATTTTGCCCAATATTTCAGGAGCTACAATTTAACACTGAGCAGTAAATGAAGCCCCTCGACACTTTTTGTAACAAATTAAAAAGAGAAAATTCCACGAGGTCTTACAGTTGAAAGTAAAAACACGAGTAAGAAACTTGTTTCTTCGAGCAGATCTCACACTGATGCCATGCAAATTGTATCCCCTGTAAAAGTCTGACAGAAGAGATTTATAACATGATGTAGAAGTTATTTCAATACATATTGTTCATCCATGTCTGCTATTCTTTTCCTATAGAAAGCACTCGATCTTTGATTAAGTCAATATTAGAAAATGTCAAGCTCACTTTTTTTCTTTACTTTTCCATCTCATTGTGCTTCTGTCTTTTTTCAGTCCTTAGAGCAAATCAAAAAAATGTGGAGAGACAAGTTTCGCACGTTGCTCAAAAGCTCAAGACAATTTTTACTAATTATAAAGGTCTCATGTGCGCCTGTTTTTTGTTGTTTTTTAGGGTCACCTCCACAAACGACCAAAGACGTCCCCTGCTCAGGTGATGAGCCGCGTCGTGTCCTCTCACTGCACGTTGGGTGTTAACTTTTATTTCAAATCAATTGAGTCTTTTTCTTTGTCCTTCAGGCCTGTAGTCTGTCGGAGCTGGATGAGAAGATCAGTGCGGTGAAAGCAGCACTGCTGAAGAAGGTGAATGAATTTGGGCCGGGATATGGAGCCGAGTGTCCGCTGTGACATCCCTACTCAAAAATACAACAAACACACTGCAGCCATTAATGCATTATTGGTTTCTTTTTGTGTACTGGAAAAAATGTATTACTCTAAATAGTTTTGTATTTAACTGTTACTTTAATTAAAGATATTTTCTTCCTTGGAAAACTGGACTTGGAACTTGGAAATGTAGTATAGTATGTCACACCATTGTTTAAATAATCCCAGCAGAGTCATAACAATGTCAAGAAAGTCATAGAAGGTCTATAAAAGGTTCAAAAGTTGGTAGAGAGTAGTATCCCATAGAAAAGTGGTTTATAGTTGATCCTACGGCCCATCTCAATACTTTCATTTAATTACACACTCCACTGTTGCAACAAGCGGTCAAGCGTCTGTCAGGTCGGGAATGACCCCTTGTAGACCAGTTGCATGGCAACCAGCGGCTACAAATGTTGCAGTAAGTAAGTTGTGTCATCAATACTAGACTTCAATGGACAACTCTGCCATTTAATGTGGAAGTGGGTAGGAAAATATACTCTTATGTGTAATCTCATAATTTAAATTGGCCGGCAGTACTCAGTAATCAAAACTTGAAAAACCCCTGATATATTCTTACACTTGTAGAAAATCTGTCTGGTAATGATGCAAATAATAAAATATACATATAGCAGTTTATTTGAAAGCCTTTGGTGACATTTGACCAACAGTCCACAAAATACATATATAGAAATAATACCAGTGAATTATTTGCTTAATTTATAATTAAATAATAACCAACAATTCATTAATTATAAATAGTAGATTAATTTTCTGACAATTCTTTCAGTTCAAATATATAATAAAGGAATCTTATTAATCTACAACTTAAAATTACAGTAAATGATATGATATGAAATGCATTTATCATGTAACATTTTCCTCTTCATCCTCTAATGCTGGTAGCTAGTGTGTGTGTGTGTGTGTGTGTGTGTGTGTGTGTGTGTGTGTGTCCGTTCACGTGTGTGATTGAGATGAATCTGAGAGGACCTGATTTATCTGCCTGACTGCTGTGTGACGATAATGGTTGTCATTATAACAAATGACCTGATTACTGCAACTGTTTGGAAGAGATATTGGAGACCCAACAAACCAGCATTAAATGGGACGCTGCTGTGTTTGACGCTGTGACATGTTGATAAAAAGGCTTTCGCGTTGAGCTTTTACCGAGCAAGCGGCTGACGGTTGAGGTCCTGAGGTTCCTCTTCGGAGGCATCGTGAGTGAACCGCGGCCCTGTTCTGTAGTCATAAGAGCCACGGGTCCTTCAGCACAAGCATGTTCGAGTGGAGGCAGATGCCAGTGAGCTGGACGTCTAAGGCTTAACCCTAAACGTGCATTTGTTGTCAAGGACAAATGCCTGTCTCTCACAATAAAAAAAGTAGATTTGAATATTATTTTAGATGACAACGTGCAGGTTATTGCTTGTGCGCAAACTAAAAATAGCTTGAAAAATAGAGATTCTGGAGGAATTTTATCTGACATCAGATAATTTAAACATCACAACTCAAGAAACTATGATGGAAATCATTAAACTGATTTTTAAAATGTTTTATAAATAGAAAGTCAATTTCATAGCAAATTAAAGTAGCATTAAAAGGAAGTATTAAAGTATAGTATATATAGCCACAGCCAACTGTAGTACAGTGCTGAAGTTACGTTAAAAGAGAGGAGAGTTGCAAGTTCCTCAGTGTCATATGAAACTAAAAAACTGATTTATTTCAAAAGTTTAAAGGTACTTCAATACTCCTCGGGATTCGATAATATGCCAATTCAATATATATATATATATATATATATATATATATATATATATATATATATATATGAAGTTTTAAGTGATTCTGCAACAGGTGGGACAAACAGAGCGAAAAACCAACTTTCTCACATCTTTGGAAATTACTGTAACTCCCCTTCCTTTTCTTGGCCGCAGGTCTTTGTATGTCACGTCACGATTTATTTCAGAGTTGATTGATGGAGTGACCCGAATACAATAGAAGACGTTGCATTGTGCTTTTTTTTGGGGAAGATATTTCATTCTTAGCACGGAAATGGGATTTTTTGTTTTTTTTCGCCCCTTCTTTCAGGTGTACCTCGCTTGTTCGGCTCTGTCTCTTGCTCATAGACTGGAACCTTCTGGGCAACAAGGGGCCACAATGTGCTGGGAAGGGGAGCACTTGAGCTGCAGCGATGTGGATGGACGTTGAGGGGGGTTGCTCATTGTTCCCCGGGTGCTTTTGTCTCAGACACAGTTCCCTTATGAGGGTTAATGAGGACAAATTGGCCCGAGTGGAACAAATGAATTATGGAGTTGGACAAAAGGTTGTATTTTGTGGGCTGCGCTTGCTGGGATCCACCCATCATCTGCCCATTGAGGGGAGCACACTGACTGGCGTCTGCTTGAAGTGGCTCACTAAATATCTCATTATCTTTATCCATGTTTTATTGCGTGAGCGCATCATGCATGCAGCTTCCTACAATGAATTTAACTCAAATTTAAAGTTTAGATCATAAAAATTGAATTTGCCATCTTTTGAATTGCATGGCTTATTTCCTACAATTAATGCAAAGGAAATAAAGTCAATATGTCAAAATGAGTGTCGGTGGTTAGTGCTCTCGGGTTGGGTGGGAATAGTGTACCCTTTCATATGAACAAAGAGCCACTTCCTCATTGACTCTATGTAATTCCGGCCTGTCAATCAGTCCTCCCTCTGCCTGATTTCTTGCAGCGTCCTTGGGAACCTCGGGGAAAAGACACAGAGGTGTTCCTTGTCCTCTATGGGTCCAGTTGTATTTTTCGGTGAGGTCGATGGAGAGGATTCATATCCATTCATATCTCACAAACTCTTAATGGGCTCCAAGCCCTCGCAAAAGAAAGCTCTTTCCTGTGACTAGTCAGCTCCACTCTTTATTCATCTGTGGCTCCGTGTCAAAAAAGACTGTTGCTCGTTTGTGGCCTGAACAATGACGAACAAGGCTAAATCTCTAGCTGGGAACAAAAGACAGAAAACAGGCTTTTCAGTCTGCAGAACATTAGATTCTGACACATTTTGCCGTGGCAGTTCTCCCCCCCCCATCTTGAGTGCTGTGGCTCTGGTCTTTTAAAGAGACCACCTGTTGGCAACAAGCCCGTTCTTCATTACAGACAGGCCTATTATCACAGGATGAGGAGCGCCACAGGCTAACTTTTTTAAGTTAACCCTGCTGCCGTTTCCAAAGCTGGCCGATTGGGAAACATAGATTACGTATTGCCACTGGGGGGGAAAAAAAATCTATTTTTGCTCGTAATTTTGTGTCATGTTTTTGAATAAGGGCTTTATTCAGTGCAAGAGGGAGGTACTTCATTCATGCCCTTGTCAGATACAAATGTCACAAACAAAGGGACTTCAATGTAGGCAGCTTGATTGTTCTTTAACTATATTTGTTGCCAACTTCGTATTTGAAAGCCCAAATGTATTTGCTGTAAAGTTGTTGATGGTGGTCTCGTTTCTTCTCACGCAAACATTTTGAGCAAAAGGAGATGCTAGTTGTTCTTCTTTCGAAAGCAGTTCTGAGCAATTTCCAAACCCAAAGACATTAGCATAACTGCAGCATGGTAATGATTTGTGTAAAATAAAATGACTGTAGGTGGCAATGTGAAGCAATCAAGTGCATACGTTGGCTTTGAATTGGACATGATAAACGCAGCCCGAAAGATTGTGTGGAGATTTATAAGATAATGTTACATTATTTATAGATTTCAAAGCTATAAAAACCCATAATTATAGCAACAGAATGTAAAAAAAAAAGCTACATTTTTCATGAATAATCTTTCCCGGGGATTTGATTGTACACCTGCACATCCTGTTTAAGAATAACTGCCCTGAGAACAGCTGAGAGGCAAGTTTTTTTATTCCCCATAAGACGGCGTTAGTACAGCAAAATACCTCCGTCATAATCATGCCATCACTGTCGGAGTACGCCCAGTGCAGTCACACTTGTTTCATGTTCACAAACACCCAGAGGGGGGGGGGGGGGGTTGCATGCACCTGTGACCCTCCCCCACAAAGCCAACAGAACAAGAGAAGATCCCCCTGCAGCCTCAACGAGAGGCAGTCAGCTGCTCTCTGTGGGCCTGCTGCACGGTCCCCGGGCTCGCTGGAGTTAAATGTGCCTGCGATATTGCCAGGAGGGAGCAGCGGGAGTCGAATTCAGGGCATTACAATCAAGTCAGGGCATAGTTAGTGCGTGGGCCCTGGTAGCACCTGAGCTGGATGCTGATGAGACACTTAGCCCCAAACCCTCATGCATTGGCCCAAGCGCTGGGTAGAACAAGCCCCCCCCCCCCACCCCACCCCACCTCCCCCACTTCCCCTCTCTCCCTTCCTCTACAGCAGCAGACCCCCTACTGGACACTTCCACTTCCCTTCACCTCATTTAGGCCTCTAGAGCTCTTTCACCCTCTCTCTGCTTCTCTCTCCGGCTCTCACGTTGCAATGCTTGTGCTTTATATAGGTGGCGTGGAGGACTGCACTCAATCACTCTTTATTCATTCACACTGTACAATAATAGACAGCTGCTTTGATACTGTCCTTAAAGCACCTGTGCAGCAGAGCTTCGAACACCATGCCAAGTTCTTGAGAAATATTTCTCTTAAAAAGAAGGTTCCCCCAAAAAGAAGGAGAGACTTTTTAAAAGGAGTCTTCCTGTCTGTCGCCATATTCACCACATATCAGACCATCAGACCTGTGCATGGATACTTGTTTGCCGGTGGCCACAGGACTCGGCGTTATAGCAAATGGACGAGTGAATGGCTTAGGGAGGTGCACTTCTTGAATATCTATGACCTGAGAATATGGAGTCAGGCATCACAACAACACTCTTAGGCCCTTTTCTCAATAAGATGCTCTCAGCTCCTCAGGGGGAAAGCCTCCTGGCTCCCGCCCTCTCTCAGCAACCACACTTTGCTGAAGTGTCATTAGGTTTGTAAAGGGCAGGATACCATAGAACTGATGTATGGACTCTGGGTAAAACCACCAGATTTTGAATGTAAAGGTCTGAGAACACGAAGGAGGCGCGCTGGTTCTTCATCTGCAGTCTGCGTGCATGCACGCCTCGTGTATCGCTTTGGTGCTGGGTTTTGTGAGATTGCTAGCTTTGCTCTTCAATCCACTTTCATTGTCTATCTGTGGCTGTGCTTGTTAGTTAGAACCGGGCGGAGTATTTGGGGGAGCACAGGGGGAAAGGTGGAACACCTCTTCCACTATTTTTGACATAATGGTTGTCTTTTGATTTTTCCTGGGCTCCGGAGACTACCAGGGATTGTCTCTTTGAAATTATTCCATTTTGGCTGAGAAAAAGAAAATGGATTGCGCTGATCCTGTTTTGTTCCTGGGGGGGGGGGACGGCGGCTGCAGTATTATCCCGGGCTGACACCGGTGGCGAAGAGGCAATCACAGTAGCCCTCGCTCCGACAAAAACACTCCATCTGCAAGGAGAGGAGGAAATCACACCACAATGATGTCTGACTCTTCTGCCTCACTCCGGCAGCTGGGCCCTGGGACCCATGAACCGCTACACAACCACCACCACAATGGCTGTTATACAAACGCACAAACAGCACACTACAAATCAGCAGCTGTAACACACAAAGGCAATGCACCTGCCTTCGCGCAACAACAAGAACGGGACGGATTTTTGCTCGAAAAGTTTCCTTTGGTGCTCCAGGCCGGTTGGAGTGGTTTCCATTTGATCCGCTGCATGTTTATTAGTATTAGTGTTGATAGTGTTATAAGGATTATAACAGCTTTATCGCTAGTTTCAGCTTTTTAGACAAATCCACAACAAATTTTTAAACGCACAAAGCTAACCGTTTGATAACCTAAAGGCATTTGTGTTTTGTAGGTAAACGTTTGCACACAGACGCACACACACACCAGATGAAGGATAAGCAGCCGCGTAGCGCTCCCTGTTAGTATTCAGTAGTGTCACCTCTCTCCCTCCGTGTCCCATACCTGGGGGATCAAACGCACCTCTTTGTGAGAGAGTCCTGACCTCCTGCTATTAGCAAACAGAGGAGAGCCCAGCTGACACCACTCTTGAGATGTGCCATGCAGACGGAGGCCTGTGATTACAGCACAATCCTGAGGAGACAACCCTCCACCTCGCTCCAGCCCCAACCACCTGCAACAACCCCTCCACCCCCCACACCGCACCACGAGAAATTCACCTATCTCTGAAATAGATGTTAATCTCTCGCCCAACTGGCTGCCTCTGAGACCTTGTTGACACACACGCGGCCGTGACCCAGCCATGAATAATCAATAGGCCGCTGCTTTCACGAACATGTGCCCAAGAACAGGCTATTTCTTGTGACCATTACCGCGGCCGATTAGAATGAAAGATTGGACTTTCAAATTGGTGGTTGTGCACGTTTGTTTCTTCTCGTCCTCTGTGTGTGTGTGTTCATGTGTATGGATGGGGGTGGGGGGGGGGGGGTCTCTCTAGAAGACGCTGAGGGGAATAGGTCTGTCTAGTGCCTTCACAGCGCCACATGAAAACCAATGAAGGTAAAGCAAGAGAGGGGATTAATTTGTTGTGAGAGAGGCAGAGGCTCAAGTGGGTCTTCCAATAGCAAATTAGCAAACCCTCATTTCAAAAACCCTCATACATACTAGAGAGTAGTAATGCACAAACACACGCAACATGGATGTGCACATGTATACATTATGTTCCAGCCAGGTTGTACACACACACACACAAAAAGAGGACACTTTTTTGTCAATTACTGAAATATCTGTTCTTTCTCGCTCTCCGCTGACACACGCGTGCACGTGCACGTAGCCGTGCGCGCCCGCGCGCACAGGAAGAAAACTTCAATTTTATCTGCAGGGGCAGAAATCAATCTCACATCTCTTTAGTTAATCCGCAATGGCTCTCTACAGATCCTGACACTAATAAGGTATTGAGCAGGTGAGGCCAGGGGCTGAGGAGGGGAACAGAGGGAGAGGAGAGCCTTGCAGTCTGGGGCCCGACTGCCGGCTGGCACTGTTCCAGTGCAATTATGGGGCTTGTGTATGGGAGAGAAGGGCGCAGGAAAGAAGCAACCGGGATAGAAGGGAGAGCGACAGAGAGAGAGAGGGAGAGAGAGAGGGGCATAGAGAAAGAGTGGTGGGGTGGGGGAAAAATTGATCCCATCTGTGGTATGATGGTTAATTAAAGCAGCTCTTGAGCAGCCCAAGGATGAGAGGCTTGGCTGGGCTCCTGGAGGCACAGCTCTGATTACTCACACAGAATGGATGGTTTCTTAGCAATGAAAGGAGGAGGCCAAGAGCTGCCTGGTGGGGTGCACAGACGACGTCGAGGAGGAGAGACATGTGCATGCTGCACACTAACACATGTGCACGCACATACGTGCGGATGGAGAGACACGCACTCGCATGCATGCATATACGTATGTGGCACACGCATGCTTCACACAAGTGCAAACATCATCAAATTAGATCAGAATAATTGCATCAGGAAACAAATCAGATATAATGCGAGTCCACTAAATGTAAATTTCAATAACAAGATGAGCTCAAGAGGTTAATGACAAAACAAGCAAAGTTCATCTAATTGCCGCTTATGGTGCATTGCTAAACCGTGAATCTATAGTTCTACACGTATAAGAAAACCATCATCCTTAATTCAGCAGTATAATATTATTTCCAACCATCTCCATCATACACCTGAGTGAAACAACACTGACTCTGCCTCCAATTTCTCAAGTCATCAAAGTTTAATCTTACCATTACATTTAGATAACCCCGGAGCCCATTACACCCCCCTCATTGACATTTATGGCTCTCTCATTTTCAAAGGGCATGGGTAACAGCTCCAGCACTTTGGTATGACCCCACCCCCCTATGGTCACATCTGGTATTGCATAACATGGCCAGACAAAATACACAGGCAGGTACATGAACTTATACTCCGACTTAGTACATTATTACTATTATTATCATGTATTACTCATTCGTAGGTGTCGATTAATTATGTGGAAATTACATGCATAAACGGTAACTGAGATTATGTAAAACAACGGCTCTTGAGAGACGATGTGGAGATGGGACAGAAAGACAGCCCAGCCTCCTATTTGTATAAAGTCGAAGATATAATCACACTCTCAGAGTTAGAGAGGGGTTATAATAAACCTCCAAATCTGAGGTGTATGAATTATGTATGATTCGATGGCTGCAAAATAGAAAAGAGGGTGAAAGCGACTGATTGAGGTGCGCCGCGTGCTGCGTTGTTTGCCGCCATGTCTCCTGGTACAGACATCTGAGGTCAGGGCCCCGAGCTAATTGGTGCCGGGCCGAACGCTTGTGAGCTAAATGAGAAAATTACACGTTCTCGGAGGAATCAGCTGCGGTTGTCGGGGTGCCTTTTACGGTGCGGCTACAATCGTAATCTGTGTGGCGGAGACAGGCGTCTGGCTGCGTGTTTGTTG